GTTTGTTAATATTATTTGCACTTTATGACTTTTGTCTCTACTATTAAAGTTCTCTTTGTAAACAGGATTAGATTGAACAACTGGCCACTCCAGCAGCATAAGCCTTTATAGTTTGGTTGAATTCCTGTGTGATTAAAATCGTATTTCTTCTGTTTCCTTATGAATGACTTGTATTTTATTGTAAATAGCCCTGCAACGATTTAATAAGTGTACTAGCAGATTATATTAGAATTTAATAATTAATGGAAAGGACAGTAGAAATGTTAGAGTTATGACTTTGCAATAGAAATCCCTACAGTGAATTCTCAGTCAGTTCAGATAATCTCCTGATATATTTAAATCACTACTCTTTCATGAGCTCACATAAGCCCTCTAATAAAAGTTGCAAGCACTTTCAAATTAAATTTGAAGTGAACTAAAGTAATATCTGCATTTTAATCCCTTGTATAAGAGAGACGTAGACATACTGGATTGTGTCCAGCAATGGACCACGAAGATGATTCATGGATTGGAGCATCTGTCACATGAGAAGAGTCTGAGAAAGCAGAGAGTGTTTAGCCTGGAAAAGAGAGTGCTCAGGGGGATCTTATCAATGTGTAAAAATACCTGATGGGGTGAATAAAGAAGACAAAGTCATTGATAGGACAAGAGGCAATGGGCACAAACTTGAAGTACAATAAATTCTGTTTAAAGATCAGAAAAGTCTTTTCTAATGTGAGGGTGGTCAACACTAGGACAAGGTTGCCCAGGAGTCTCCATCGTTGGAGATACTCAAGACCTGACTGGACATGGTGCTGGACGACCTGCTTTAGTTGACCCTGCTCTGAGCAGGGGTGGTTGGAGTAGATGATTTCCAGAGATGCTTTCTGACCTCAACGATTATTTGCTTTATTGCAGATAAGTTACCTCTGCATTTAACTAATATCATTCATTGCATTTTATATTTTGCCCTCCTATGGACAATTTCCAGTTGATTTAATACTTTTTTAAAGTAAGAAGTCCAAAACTAGAGACAGTATTTCTACTCATTAAGTGACAGGCTACTGCTTTATCTATGACATCCCTGTTCATAGCCTAGGATTAGATTTGCCATTTCATTGAGCCGGCAATGTGCGCTGGCAGCCCAGAAAGCCAACTGTATCCTGGGCTGCATCAAAAGGAGCGTGGCCAGCAGGTCGAGAGGTGATTCTGTCCCTCTACTCTGCTCTCGTGAGACCTCACCTGGAATACTGTGTTCAGCTCTGGAGTCCCCAGCAAGAAGGACATGGAGCTACTGGAGCAGGTCCAGAGGAGGGCCACGAAGATGATCCGAGGGCTGGAACACCTCTGCTATGAAGACAGGCTGAGAGAGTTGGGGCTGTTCAGCCTGGAGAAGAGAAGGATCCGGGGTGATCTTATTGCAGCCTTGCAGTACCTAAAGGGGGCCTACAGGAAAACTGGAGAAAAACCTTTTACAATGGCGTGTAGTGATAAGACAAGAGGCAATGGCTTTTAACTGAAAGAGGGGAGATTTAGATTAGATATAAGGAAGAAGTTTTTCACTCTGAGGGTGGTGAGGCACTGGAACAGGTTGCCCAGAGAAGTTGTGGATTCCCCATCTCTGGAAGTGTTCAAGGCCAGGTTGGATGAGGCTTTGGGCAACGTGGTGTAGTGGAGGGTTTCCCTGCCCATGGCAGTGTGGTTGGAACTAGGTGATCTTTGAGGTCCCTTCCAACTCTAACCATTCTATGATTCTATGATTTTCTTTTCTTTTTTTTTTTTCCTGAGAGCATGATGTTATTGACTCATATTCAGTTGTTATTCGTTTTAATATCCCAGTCCTTTTCTATAAAACTGTTTAATCAGATACTCTGTCTTCTATTTTACAAAAATCTTTTTTTGAGGGTCAAAATTGTTAAAATGGAGAATTAAGTATGACAATTTGTAAAGGACAAACATACTAAAAATTCTTTGAATTAGTCAGTCAGCATCAGATGCAATAAGGATAGTCCTAAATGTTGTGTTATGTATTATTTTTATTGAAATGCATCATCTTTATTTCTCTAGTATGTCAATGGAATTTTGAATTCCAGTCTTATTGTCTGAAGCACTTGCAGCTGCTTTGTGGTATTTCTGTTATCATTCAAGTCATCAATATGCAACGATACTGTAAGAAAAATTTACTTAGTGAAAGGTTCTCAAGGGCTGATGAGTTTTTTTGCTAGTCGTGGCCTGTTCCTGACCACTGTTCTCCCAGTGGTGATGTCAGCAGCATATGGCAGAAATTCTAGGATGAATGCTCAGCTTATCTTTACTAAGGAATATTCACCAAGTGTGTCCCACTGTTTTCTGAGTATCTGTATGTATTGTTTATATCTCACATGTGAATCTTCTCCATTTCCCCCCTACTTAACTTGGAAGTTAATATCTTTTGTATCTGCCTTCCAGTAGTGCGAACTATATAAACAAGTCTCTGCAGTACCACTTCCATCATTATTTGATTATGTACTAGGATTTTAATTTCTTCCTGTTTATTTCCTCCATGTCTTGTAAAATTTAGAGACATCTATGCGTTCAGAATTTTGACCACTGCTTCCTTTGTTCTCCTTCCAGCAATCGTATTGTTTATTTCAGAGCCTTCTCCCAGTCTTTGGGCATTTGTCCATGTCACTGCATATATACTTGTGGAGTTACGATGCTACCTCCCTGCTGATCCTTGTTTAAAACTGCTCTCCTTGATAATTCTTCCTCGTACAAGATGGACCTACCTTTGTTCAGTTGTTCTCTGTGCCAGAACACCACCTTGTGGGAAAGGAAAGCAGAGCTTCATCTTTGCTTGGTTAGAAAGATAGAAAAGACCTGAACCTCTGGATTCTTCTTCTTCCTTACTTCTGTGTCCTTTCAGTTATTTTTGAGCGACTCTGGGTAATATTTGCCAGTGCTGTTGGTGCCTATATGAATGAGCTGCATGGAATAAAAATCAGAAGGCTGACTGAAACTCAGCCCCTTTACTAGAAGTACTAAAGCAGTGACAGAGCTTAAAAAAGTGTGTTTATTTAATTTGATTACATTTATGGTTATGTTAAGAAGATTATACAGCTCTAATTAAGGGTTTTCTGTAATAAACTTGGATTTTCAGCTATTTATAACTGAGGCAAAATGTTTCCATACAGAAATTTGACATTTGGTGTCTCAAGCTGAATGGTATGGTTCTCCTTTTCACTTTTTTTAAAAAGACTCTTTGGCTGCATTCTGTTTTGAGGGAAGCAATTTTTTGTGGTTTTGTATGCTTTTTGTTCTCCCTTGGCAAGGCTTGATACATGGAAAAAACAAATTTTCCAGGCTCTTAGTCTTTTATGTCAACTATTTCCTTTTTGATATTTCAAACATTGCACTTTGGTAGTCATTACTTTTTAACAGAGCCACTATATAATTCAATAAGCAGTCACCTCTAAGTATCTACCGTAACTACTTTTTATACTTTGTTACAAAAAAATACTTAATATGATACAGTTTAGTAGACATTTTTTTTCTGAAACAAAATGATTTACCTGACATATTTAGTGTTTAATGTAAGTACTTTTGTATTTCTGTAAGGTTCACCCTTTTTGGAGTCTCTTGAAGTAGAAAGATTGTTTTCAATTTTTCTATTCATTTCTATTTTCTATTTATTATATCTGTAGACTTTTAATGCCATGCTTGAAGGTGTCAAAATTCTCTAATTTTGTCTTGTTCTTTCTGAAAATCCTTCCTTTTACCCAAGGGGATGGTGCGCATTTGGAATCCTCGAGTTAGATTTCGGGGAACTCGATCCCTCAATTCAGGAAGCCCGAGTCCTGGTTAAGGTCTAATGCCATCCATAGAAGTGTTTAAACTCTGTGAAAGTTCTTAAAGACTTCAGTCTGTTCTGTGGATTTGAAGCTTGCCCAGTGAATGCAGATGGTGTTGTGACTGGTGGCTCAGGTGACTTCTTCAGCTGTCTTTTGAGTGATGTCCCAATGTTCTGCAAGTGTGACACTGTGATCAGAAGACTTCCCAAGAAAACAGGGAGTCTCTTTTTTCTTCCTGACAACATTGTCAAGTACGTATCTCCAGCTTCTTGGAAGAATGTCCTAATGGCTAGTTACTGCATATTCATTCATAGGACAAGTGACATTAGGGTGAGGAGGTACTCCTTTCCTCCTCTGATTCAACTTGGGCCACAGAATAGAAAAATGCTAGAGTCATCTTAGCAGAAGATGGTACATGTACCTTTATAGTCTCTGATTTGTTTCTGAATTTTTTCCAGTGATTACACCCTGTAAAATGCAAAAATAGTACACTGGTGCCTGAACCTGAGTATTCTCTCTCCTTTTTACTTGCTTTTTATCTAAGCTTCAGCAGTGCAGTAGAAGAGAAATTATTAGTTATGTTGGGGAAAGGTATGATCAGAACAGCATTTGTGAGATGAGTAAGAAACTGGCTGAGAAGGAAATAAGAGAGAATGTTGAAAGCAGATTTGTTAGACCAAAGAGATATGGCTGGTGGAGTTCCTCAGGTCTTTTTTTAAAATGTGTTTCTTCTATAGCACTAACTCACATTTCTTGAGATAATGTATGTTTGTGTTAAAATAAGGTAATCATGTTAGTCCAAATGTTTTCACCAGAAAATATCAAGGTGGTAAGATCTGCTGATGACAGAAAGACAAGATGCATATCACTACCACACTGGATGCCACACAGGAGGAACTGAGTGACCTTGAAGACAGGAGCAATAAACGTACTGTAGATGAAGCTAGATGAAATTCAGTGCAAAGCAAGACTCTTCTGGACACAGAGCCAAGATGTTTACCTTAAGCTGTTAGTCCATCAGCTCGAAGAGTGGAAGAATTTGTCTGTAGTACTGCCTTGAGTTTCCACTATGTGACCCTTGTGAGAATCCTGTATGTAGTTCTCAGTGTTGTGTTCAAGAACAATGAATTCAAGTTGAGATTGACTAGTGGACAGGAAGGCTATAGACAAAAACAGTGAGAGACCTGGACCATGGCTCAAAGGGATTATATGCCTGCTATATCACAGATGGAGCATAAAAATCAATACTTGAATGCCTTTTCAAATGCTTATTCCAAACTTCTGTCCCCTACGAAATCCAGACAGACATCCCCCGAACGGCCATGTGAATGGCTACTGCACGTGCTGTGGCTGTGTGACCTGCTCTGTAAAGACAGGTACAGCTCTTTGATTTTAGCAAAAGTTTTACCACGGCCGGAACTCAATAGGATTTACAGGATTTGGCCTAGAAATTGAACATTTTTGCCACCGAAGTGTTATGGACATTTTTCGTGCTCTAAATTAAGCTTTGATTCACATAATCTATTTTAGCTCCTTTATTTTTTTCCAGTCACAGCTTTACTCATAGCACAGCTGTGGCATATTGTCTTGTAACAAGAAGGATCTGATAATAGTGAAATAACCCGGATTTATGCCCGTAGTGCTGAAGTGGTGCCATATTTGTGAAAATAACTTTAAAAAAGAGAAACAATGTGCAGCAGATGTGAAGGTTTTACCTTCACATTGAAGTAGGTTTATACTGTCAGTGAGTGTGGGCTTAGCGCAGCCTGACAGAGTTTTAACTTACCAGATGTTCCACGTGATCAAATAGATACTATACAGCTGGTTCCCATTCTTTTTACTGGGCTCAGGTAAATATACAGTAAATGCTCTGAAATACATTTATTGTATTTTGGCTAGTGTTGCGGCTGTTGCTGCAGAGAACTTACTTTTATCCATGAGCACCAAGAATGCGGGGAGAAACCAAAGGTACTTTAGGAATGCTCATTTTCCGTTACTGTTAGGAGAAATTAGTGACTGTTTGGTTGAAAAAACCCTGAGGGTACTAGCTAGGGAAGGGTGAAAACTGGGTTTTTCGTCTGGGTGTGGGTGAGGTGAGATTATGGCCATATTAGCTCACGCTAGTCCCAGCCCAGGCTTTCAGAACTGGAATGGAGACCGGTCGGATTCTGTATTCAGTGCAATACGGAAAGCAGGGCATCTCCAGAGCTTCTGGTGAGGCTGCCTGCATCCCTCCAGTCTGCTCATAGAGGTGCTGGCAGCGTGCCCTGAGCTGGCCATTTGATTTGTTTTTTGAAGACACAGAGCTTTTTGGGGGTCAGTCTGAGCAACTGCTCTGAACTGTTTGAGGACATAAAGGCCCAGGTTATGTGAAGTGCCACACCTGTCAACTTGATTCAATAACAGTGCAGTTAAATAATAAAAAAGGAAGTTTCATTTCCCTTCACCTGCTTTTCTGCTCTTCTCTTTCCTCCCCCTCCAACTCCCCGTGCTCTCCTTAGCCCTTTGACCTTGCTGCTGCCTGCCTTCCCTCCTGTCACTGTCAGCTTCCTGCCTTTCCAGATCTTCCCTTACACCTGGAAAATTCCTCTTCTTGTCTACTAGGGGCTCTCCTTGTTCTCCTTTAAATCCTTCTTTAAAACCTTCGTCTTCAGGTGGAGGAATTGCTTTCATCTTTCATTAATAATCTCTTCAACATTTCTTGACTGCTCTATTCTTTTCAGATTTATAGCCTGGTCTTGCAAATGTTTACAGAGAAGTAACTGTTCAGTTAAATTGAGAACATTCAGTTAGAAGTTTGGAGGACTGGATTGCTCGTTGGGAGGCTTTTCAAAATGGAAATATTTTTCACTCTGTAAAACACAATGTTCATTTATGGTTTTATGTACATTTTTATAATAAACATTTGTGGCGTTACATGCATACATGTTAACTTCTGCTTTTAACTTTTATTCCCTGACTCAAGGTGTGGAACATGTTCTCACAGATGTTTAAAGGCCATGAGCAAAGTTACTGTTGACAATAGGACTTTATACCCGAATCGTATGAGAGGACAAGTACAAGGTGTACCTTTGATCTTAGTGACCGTTGTTGTTTTATGTTTCGGTATTGATTTGTATTTCAGGAGTTTCAAGCATCTGGACTGCCCAAGTACATCAAGATTGTAGAAGTTGGGCCAAGAGATGGATTACAAAATGAAAAGGTAATTTTTCTCTTTTTTGGGGGTGTATTTTGACATGGATATCAGTATTTTCATTGTGTAAAATACATATATCTTGCTAATTGTGTTAACAATATAAACAGAATAGGAGAATTACTCTGCCTGAGCTGTAGAACTGTTTTTTTCTTTTTTCTCTGGTTGGACTAGTCTGTGTTACTATTTTCTTTGTTGCTTCTTTGCTAGATTGGTGTTTGTTTATTAATAATTAGTGTGGCTAAAGTACGTGGAAGTGCTTCCTCATTCTTTTGCGGTGGATGAAAAATGGAGTAGGATCATTCATACTGCCTAGTACTTTATGCAGTGGCTTCCTACAGTCATGAAACTGTATAGTTATGGTGTAATGTATGAATATAGTTCATTATTTTTAAAAAAAGTGCTGATTATGTGCCAAGAACATTTCACTTACAAAAGTTTCTTTCTGCATTAAATACTTTACTATCGTACATCTCCATGTCCGTAGGTGATAGTCCCAACTGATATCAAAATTGAGTTAATCAACCGGCTTTCCAGAACAGGCCTGCCTGCAATAGAAGTAACCAGCTTTGTTTCATCCAAATGGGTGCCTCAGGTATGTTTAGTCATCACCTTTCAGAACTGGTTGAATTTAATGCCATTAGTGCCATTTTAATGAATTTAAATGCCATTCCATGCAGTGGAGTTTTTCAGTAGTATAACCTGTATAATTATACAAGAAAACGGAATAGAAATAATACGTTGTTTATTTGTAAAATCAGATCCTGTTGTCAGACACCATTTACTCAGTTTTCAAGTTTTATACTTTTGTTCAGGTCAGCTGAAGTTGGACTAATTATTAAAAAGTAGTCAAAATTGAAGAAAAACCAGCAAGCTGTGCAGAAAGCTGGTTAAATTCCAACTCAGCAGAGCTAGGGAGCTGGTTGCTCCAGAAGGGAAGGGGAACTGAAAGCCAAGCACAATAACAACGGGAGCAGAGATTGTAGCCTTGTTGACCAAAGGGCAGTCCAACAGTCCAGGAGAGCAGAGCGAATCTGGAGAGGGTAACCAGGGCAGCCAAGAGAACACATACTCAGGTGAGTCTGCGGTGGTGCACCAAGTCCAGGGTCAAGCCAGGAAGTCAACTCTGTGAGATGTAGTCAGGATCCATTCAGTAAGGTACATGGCCAAGAATGAGCTTGGCTGCTGCTGCTGTGCAGCTGTACTGTTTCTCAGGGAGAAAGGAAGCACGAGAGTGTCTCAGCTTGAAAGTCTTCTGAGTGAAAAAGGATGGTAGGCCATGTTAAGACTTCTTAACAGCTGTTTGAGGGAGCCTCTGCTGATCTGCTTTCCAGCTTTTATTGATGAGCTTCGAGGCTGATTGAGGCTTCTCTCTAGTTGCTGTCTTCTCATCAATGAGTTGTCCTTGAGTCCAGGCAGCTAAACGCTTAAGAAGGGGAGCACTCAGGCCCTCATCAACCAAAATGCTAGGAGTTCAGTTTGCTGTGATTACTACATAAGGTGGGAGAAATCTTGCCCCTCTACTCTGCTCTCGTGAGACCCCACTTGGAATACTGTGTTCAGCTCTGGAGTCCCCAACACAAGAAGGACATGGAGCTGCTGGAGCGGGTCTAGAGGAGGGCCACGAAGATGATCCGAGGGCTGGAACACCTCTGCTATGAAGACAGGCTGAGAGAGTTGGGGCTGTTCAGCCTGGAGAAGAGAAGGCTCCAGGGTGATCTTATTGCAGCCTTCCAGTACTTAAAAGGGGGCCTACAGGAAAGCTGGAGAGGGACTTTTTACAAGGACATGTAGTGATAAGACAAGGGGCAGTGGCTTTAAACTGAAAGAGGGGAGATTTCGATTAAATATAAGGAAGAAATTTTTCACTCTGAGGGTGGTGAGGCACTGGAACAGGTTGCCCAGAGAAGTTGTGGATGCCCCATCCCTGGCAGTGTTCAAGGCCAGGTTAGATGAGGCTTTGGGCAACCTGGTGTAGTGGAGGGTTTCCCTGCCCATGGCGGGGGAGTTGGAACTAGGTGATCTTTGAGGTCCCTTCCAACTCTAACCATTCTATGATTCTGTGATTCTATGAATATTTTCATTGCTCTCCAAACATAAATAATTTAGCAGGTGATTCCCTGTTTCCTGCTTGCAGCATGAGGATGGGAATTTGTATGAGTGTGTATGTGCAAGGGTCAGCAGTAAATGAGTAAGAGAACTGGGTCAAAGGATGCTGAGTGGGGATAAGATGTGTGCGGGCAGTGTATCAATCCTCTGTGTAAAGGGCAGCTGGGATATAGGATGCTGAGTGTAGACATAGCAATAAAGATTTGAGAATATGAAGCTGTTGGGATGCTGAGTACTGATTTTGAGTATCCAGACGAACAGCAGTGGGGCTGATCTCTGGGGAACAGTCATGGTAGAGGGGAGTTCCTGTGGCAGTAACATCAGTTCAGAAACCTAGGATTGGAGAAGGAAAACTTAGGTGCACAGGGCTTGTGCAAACTGGGGAAACTTCTCTACAAAGCTCCCTAGCACCAAACCGAAGGCGTAGACTCCTCAGGCCTAGTGGTTGTGTGGACTGTCATGGAAACTTGACTCTTCCCCAAAGCCATTTTTTGTCTGCTGCACTTGTTACGTTTCTATGTATTTATCAACCATACAGTCCTCCTTTTCTGAGCATTAACGTTAGGAACATACACATGCATACGAACACGTGTGCACTTACTTATTAAGGATTCTAGTTAAGGAGAGATGTTGCAGATTCTATCCTGGTTTTGAATTTGTTACAAAGGGACAGTGACTTTCTGCATTTAATAATATAGAGAAAATTCTTTACAATCGATGTTGACATTGTACTGTGGAATGGAGATAAAGAAAGTACTTGTGCATTTGGTTTTGCCCTTTATTTATGTAAATATTCAGTTGTAACTAAAGAATTTGAGTGGCAACACATAATTAATATAATTTAATATTGTTCCTACCTCTTTTCTACTCTAATAGTCATCGATGTAAAAAAGAAAGGTAGCATACCTTTTTTTCTTTTCCCCTAAATGAAATTTCAAAATTTCATTTTCCACATTTGAAAGTGTGTTTGGAAGATCTAAATTTGGGACTTTTGTGTATGAAGTAGTACTTAGGCACATTAGTTATTTTGCAGATCTAGCACTCTTTCAGCAGCCTGAGTTTTGATAAATAGTAAGAATTTGCGTATTATTTTTCCAAAATTAATTTTTACAGTTGGTACAATTCAGCAGAAATCCCATCCTTTCTGAAGTCAGCAGCAAAACTACATTGGCATTAGGAGTGCCCAGTTTTCATTTGAGATTTAACACTGAAAATCCAGACTTATTCCTGAAGTATACAGCGTAGCTCCTGTTTGTGCAAACTTAATCATTCCCTGCAAGGAAGGAAATCGGTCGGAACTTGTCTATAGCAGTTAAACTCATTTTCAAGAAATTGAGCACGTGTTTGCACAGAAGCATTTGAGTACTTAGGTGTTTAGTAAGGACCATGCAAGTTATTTACAAAGTAAAACATGAAATTAATCATTTTGAGAAAATACTTCAAATTTTAACATTGTCTGTTGTACATCTTTGGTCAAAATGTGTATAAAGTTTGTCCTTTTTAAACTGAGAATGCATCCTGGACCTGGACTGTATTCCAGGCTTTCCTCTGAGACAAACATGGTATGATCGTACTTTTTCTTATTCATGAGTTAGCAGAGCAAACTAGCTGTACAGCACTCTCTAAGGGACTCCCGATCTATTTCAGAGTTCCTGGGATCACCAGGGGAGGGCCTAAGGGAAGGATAATAGGAAAGGGGAACAGAACAGTGACAATGCAGAATTTCTTTGGTGGGAATGCAGGGGCAATGAGTTTTCAGATTGTGTCCATTAAAAGCCACTAGTCTAAGTTTTTCCAAGTGCCATCAAACTTTGGCAGTTAGGGCAGCAGAAAATAATGTAGGGATTTTTAAACGTTAGAAGGAAAAGTCTAAAGGAAAGGTGGATTTCTTACTTTCTTGTTTAATTATTTCCTTTTCCTGTGAGCTATTAGGAGTACCAAATTTAGCACAGGTTTGTGAGTTTTCGAAAAAATGAACAATCCTTTCTTATCTTAAATTCATGTCTGAATACTTTATTTTAATGACTTAATTTGTGTTTAAAATGTTTTTTATTTACCAGATAAGATTGTGTTGCTTTGATAGGGAGTGCAGTCTTGACTTTGTCTTTGCTCCTTTCTTTTTTCTTTACATAGGTCATGGGAATAGAATTCACGGTTATGTTTAGATCACTCATTCATTTATTTCTTTTTTTAGTATTTTAAAGCTCTTTTATGGCTTCCCATCCACTGTTTTTTTTGGCAGATTTTTTTTTTACTGAAAAAAGCTAAAAGAAAAAGTTCCACAGTAGTGAGGTGCCATATAAAACAGGATCCCACACCTATAACTAAATGGCCAAAAATTATAAATACCTACCATTAGAAAGCTTATTTTTAAAGAAATTTGGAAAGAAATATTTTATTACAATTTAAAATCTTATAACATGCAATATGTGTTAAAATGGGATTTTACTTACAGGAAAAATAGCAGTGGGACAAATGTAATACATATAATATTATTTGGACCTGGCAGCTTTATACTGATTGAAAAAGTGTCATTTTGGTTTTCTAGTATACTTTAAGTCAGGCTATAATTTTGAAGTGTGGAATTAGTTCCAGCATTTGCCATTTAATTAATCATTTGGTTTCAAACATTCTTCCTTGGCCTGAGAAATGCAGATACTATTTATATTAAATTAAGGAATGAAAAATTGTTCTTAAAAAACTAAAGCATTACCAAATGTTTTTTATGAGGTTATCAGATATGTTAGGTGGTCACACTGATTTAGTTTCTGTAGAAGCAATTACAAAAAGTTGCTTTGTGCCATCAGTTGTTTCCTGATAAGAAGTCAATTGTGTCTGGCTATAAAACATTTTTCATACGATATATCCACTTCCTTATAGTTACATGTTGGGTTTACATGCATTTTTCTGATATTTTTAATCCATTCATTTTTATAGTAACAAACCAGTGACAAGAAGATTTGAGGTTGCCAGTAGTATTGTCACTTAATAATCTGGTAGAATTTAATATCACATATTTAGAATTGTGGTACTGCAAAGTCATCAATGAAGTATCCATTGAAAATAAGGAGTAAAGAGAGCTTTGTAGTTCATATATCTTTTCATATGGTACTCCGCAAATGACTTTTCGTCAGTGTGCAAAGAATCAGAAATCCAATTTAATATTGTTTACTTTGGAAGTTTTATGAGAGCTAGCTTAAAAAGCATTTAAAATACGCCATTCTTTTTTTTAAAAATTCTAAATCTATAAGACATGGAAAATGAGGGATATGTTTTATTAACTGTATTGTTTTCAGGAATGCACACTATTAAAAGATAAACTCATTTTTCCTCTACTTCTTTCAAGAAAATGCATTTGTTTAAATGATCTACAGTTTATTACATGAATAAGTCTTTGATTCATCTTCTTGATTAGTACGTGGAGTGTGTTTAATCTTGAGTGAGAAAAGTGTAAGAATATCTTAAAAAGGCAGAGTTTCTTTTGTGAGAGGAGACTAAGGAAAGCAAATGCTTGAATAAAGTAATGGTCTTTGACATTTGCTGTGATAAAGAAGGAGTTTGTTGTTGTTTCATTCTCTTTTGAAAGAAATTCTAAGTGTATTAAAATGTTATACTATGCAGAGAACTGGATTTTGCTGTATTTTTAAGGATAGACTTATGATTAGTCTTTTCAAATATGCTGATTATAGGGTTAAGTAATTCAACTTCACTTATTCTTAAGACTGTGAAGTTGCATTTATCAGTGCTGAAGTTTTCAAGATTTGGATGGTTTTAAAATTTATATTAACCGTTATTCTGTTAATTCGACCTATTGTGTCCATTGCGATAAGTTTAAAGTTGCAGTAACAGTTGATCAGCATGATCACAAGTCTGTCAATTTATGATGCAAATTATGTTTTTACAGATACACACAAAAAGAAACATCGTAGAAATCTTAGCCCCAGTTTTGTATTCATAGAGAACTGGAAAGCTTGCAACTCAAATGTTCAAAAGTTAAGAAATCAAAAAAAAGAGCGCTTGTACAACATCAATTTAACCCCTTTGTTGTTCTACTTTTTATACAAACTGTATACCTAATGAAGGCAAAAACATAGTCTAAGCCAATTTCTGCTTAGCTATATAAAACCAGAAAATAACCGCTGATCGATGCAAATAATTTATATATTTTAGATGGCAGATCACAAAGAAGTAATGAGGGGCATTGAGCGGCATCCTGGAGTCCAGTATCCTGTTCTCACGCCTAATCTTCAAGGTTTTCATTCTGCTGTGAGTGTCTTCCTAGAAGATGTCCACAATTACCTTTTTCATGTTTCAGACACTTTCAGTTCAGTACCATAAACTTGCGAATTAATGTCGTATAACCTGTCCTGTTAGAAATAAGCTGCATTTTTTTTTAATTGAAAACTATTTTCATTGTGAAAAATGGGCAAATTCAGAGTGATGTTAAGTTCTATATATTCATATTTTAATGGAAGTATTGATCAAACAGTCTTTGCAAGTTCCTATAGATGATGCTTGTGTATAAAGAGAAAGACAGTTCCTTCTTCTTTGACTTGTTGGCCCTAGAAAAGTTTCTGAACAATGTCTTCATATTGGAAAGCAGTGAAGAAGAATGAGAAAGGAGTCAATTAAATGAAAAGACCTTATAGGAATGTATTACATTTCTTAAATTCTGCATTTCATTTTGGTAGAGCTTGAAAGTTTAAATTGTTTCAGTTCATATAAAATAAATATCCAAAATTATAGACTCAATGGAGTGGTTCGGTCTTCTTAAAACATATACATTGATAGTCAAATCTTTACACTTTCTGAAAATTTTTCATGCTTCTATGATTTTGTCTTGATATAGGACAAGCTGGATTTGGAAAGCATACTGCTTGATGGCCATTTGTGGTGTAGTCTATTGTTCAGTTTCTATACTGCATATGAGATCTCTGTTAAAGTAGAACCCTGTATGTAGGCACGTTAACTACCAATAGTCAGATTTATAGTGCCACAACTTTGCAATGACAGCTTGTATGAGTCGAATTAAATCTGCTATATCTCTATATTATATTTAGTGATACAATGAAAGGAAAACAACACAAAGATAGTTGTAGGTTATCTCTGAGTTCCTTCTTCTGCTATTTTTTTTCTTCCGTTCCTGGTAGGGTTGCTGAAACTTAGACATTATCCTGCAGGAGTAAAGAGAAAAGGGAAAAGCTCTGTTCTTTTTCATAGAACAAGAGTATTATTTTCACTGGAGAGTGAGAATTAATTAATTAGCTAATCTCCTAAGATTAAATATTTTCTTCTCCTGTCATTTGGCTTTCAGCATTCTAGTTTGCCTCAGGTTGGTTGATTTACTGAGTACTGAGTACAAGCCCAGGCTAATTACCCCTTCAGTGAAGTCACCACATTTACACGTTTTCTAGGCTGGTATTTACTCTGAGACTTTTTCTCAGCAGACTCTCACATACACATTTTCCATATTATCCATATCGACGATGACACCAAGACCAATGGAGCCCTTGATCCTAGAGTTGGCTCTAACAAGGAAATCCCTGTTGGTTATTGTTGCTGCTCTAGGCACATGCAAGGCAAAGAACTTTCCTAAGCATGAGAATGACTTCCTGGCATTCGTCAGGAACAGGCTTTGTACAGAGGATGGATATTTCGGAGTTGTTACATGATCTTTTCCTTTTCTGCAAAATGAATATAGGTATCAGTCATCGTTATTTTCACAGCTGATTCATACGATTTCCTACATCTTAATGCCATTATTATTTATAATTTTAAAAATATGTTTACCTAATTACTAAGAAGAGGAAGGATATATGCCATAGTGAATGAACTCAAAGTTTGATTCAGTCTGGTTTTATGCAATAGATAATAAAAAAATTGGAATGAAACTTATATTTTAGGTATGGATGATATACTTATAATGTACTTTAAAATTCTAGAATGTACTACAGAATTAAGTCCTTAATCTAATTTTTTAGTATAGTGTTATGATTCTGTTTTATTGAAATGTATTTTTCAGATTGCAGCAGGGGCTACAGAAGTCTCAGTATTTGGTGCAGCGTCTGAATCCTTCAGCAAAATGAATATTAATTGTTCAATTGAAGAAAGCATAGAAAAATTTGAAGAAGTTGCTAAATCTGCAAGGAATATGAATATTCCAGTGCGTGGGTAAATATAAAGATTCTTAAGTTACTGGAGTTGATGTTACAGGGCTTTTTTTTTGGACCAACAGAAAAGTAAACTACCAAATGTTTACATTTTAAATTAATTGAAGTAATAGTCTTCGTTGTGATTTTTTTTTTAAGATTGAATATATTTACTAATTTTGCTCTATGTTTTGTAACTGTGAAGTTTTCTCTGGAAACTGAAAAAAAAAGCTGTATGTATAAACATCTGTTCTATTTACAAATTTATTTTAATCATCCATAGATTCATAGATTCATAGATTTCTAGGTTGGAAAAGACCTCAGAGATCATCGAGTCCAACCGTCCCTAATCCCCATTAAACCATATCGCTAAGTAGATCATCCACCCTATTCTTAAACACATCCAGGGATGGGGACTCAACCACCTCCCTGGGCA